AACTTTTAAACACAAATTTTTGAAATTTGCATCATTCATAATCATTCCTTGGGGTCACACTGAGGTCCCACATAAAATTTGGGCCCGATCGGTTCAGCCGTTTTGCCGTTTATTGGATACAAACAAACAGACAGACACCCATGCTAAATTTGTATATAGATGGAAATATTGAGTAAATTGCGAAAATTAAATACTTTTAAAGCTAGGAAAACGATGATATCCTCAAAATTATCATAAATTACAGTTATGCTTCTAAAAGTTTGAAATTTTGTTAACTTAATCCCTGAAGAAACACTTTTTCTCATCTCTTATTCAGTCCGATCGGATATAGATATCTTTAAAGATTGCCAAAATGTGAAACTGTTGCTTTAACGGATTAACTCCTGGAAAACCGAGTTAAGGCTGAGAAGATTAGCGCTATTTAAACAAAATTACGACTTTAGGATTCATTTTAGATATCACCTTATAAGTTGCCTTATTGCAGCATATAAAGCAAGAAAATAAAAAGAATTTATGTATGTTGCAGTTCTGACCAAACCTCTAGTATTTACTTTATAAGGACTTTATAGGATCCAACAGGGTTCAGGTAAATTTAAAATTCGGTGATGGTTATGGACCAAACCTCTGTAGAGTAAAAAAGTAGATGTTAGTTCCACATTTATTGAAAACATATTTCGGTCTGGGTTGACCCTCGTCAGTTCTAACGATATAATAACCATCAAAATCGATAAAAAAATGAAAAATGTAAAAAATCACAAGAAGATAAACAAACAAAAAAGATTATTCAAAATAAAAATGTGTTCTGTCAAATTGACATAAGGGAAACGAACTCAGATTATGAGATGGAAAAAAAAGATAATTTGCAAATATTTACTTTTTAAAAAATGTTTTAAGACAATTATTATTCTTTGAGATTGTTTCTGTCACAAAGGTTAAAAACAAACTGTTTAGATGTATGTGAGGATGTGACTGTGCCCGAGGAATTCCTCAGTGGATTTTATCCTTTACAAACTCAATATTTTTGGTAACTCATTAGGCGCCTCTTAATCATAATCCTGCTCGTGCGGGGAGTGGGGTAAAGGCCCAGAGTGGTTGCAAGCTCTTATGCAAGAACCAAAGCAAATTTTGTCAATTACTCATAAAAAACTAAAATTAAAAACAAGAGTTTTTATTTCTAACATGTTTATGTCTATGGATCTAAAAGGTAAAGTGAGTTATTGTGGTAAAGTTAAAAGCCAAGGCGTTGCAATACTTCAAATGGAAAATGGACTTTTAATAGCAGTATGGATCTATGTGAAGGGGAGCCTCCAGTGGCTACAGTAATTACCAGAAAACTCTGAAATAGGAAGACGACTTTACAGCAATACTTAAGTGTATTTTATGTTGTTTAAAGTCAAATAGTTTTACTAGACACTTAGTAAATCCCTAAATAGTGAAACGGGTCTGTTTTCACTGCAAAATTGATATTGATGTGTCCCATGCTTTTTTGACTATTCCAGAGTTTTCTGATTTCACTAAATATTTTATTTATTATTGGATATCTTTTTTTTTGGCCTTTCAGAAAGCATATTTTAAAAGGAAGTAAAATGCACTAGTTTTACAAATGAATACAAAATAAAAGGATATCTATTATAACTGGAATTATAGCTGTAAAGCTGAATATCGTATTATGCTATTATATTCATATTTTTTATATTATTTATATTTTCTCAATGATAAATTATCCGTGATTACATTGATTGATTGATATAAGCACTGGTCTGGTCTAATGTGTGTATTTGCTGTATATTATCAATAGATATAATTTATCCAGAGCTTCATGGAATAAATAAACGTTTAGCTGGGGGATAAACAACCGTTAATCTTCGCCTAGTATTTTAGATGAAATATAACCCTTAATATAATACATTCTTCATCTTTTCATCACTTTATTATTTTTATCTTTTTACAAGATTAAAAAATAAAATCAATCAGAGTTTACCCTGAACTCAACACTCTGAAAGTACCAACAAACATGGCATCTCTCTTTAAATCTATATATATATATATATCAGCTATACCTAGCCAAACTTCTGGATCGAATGGGCTAAAACTATTTGAGGGAAACCATGGGTACATTGGGGGTAACATAGGCTAAAAAAATCGACATCTTATTTCTTCAAAAATCGGAGTTTTTATAAAAAATTAGAATAAAAAAACAAATCCACGGACAACGCTGTGCACTTCATCTAGTCTTATAAAAGGATACGATTATGATATGATTTGATGGAAGTAAATGATCCAACAAAACAAGGAAGAATAATCTGTACTCTATAACGTACAGAAAGTCCCAAAAAACATGGAAATTCAGCAGAAAATTCAGCGAGTCCTTAAATTCCGCGCACAATTCCACGCAATTCCGCGCAACGGATTTTCGATTGAAAACCCTAGCAATTAAATTCCATTATACAGATATTATTGGATCTGTCAGAGAAGATCCAAAATCGCTAGTAAACCCTACAAAATGTACAAAATGTATTATAGTTAAATCAGGTTTCTGTGAAGAAAAATTAAATTTGTCGTCAATGTAAAATTATTTGAGAAAGTCTAAACATTTCTTTAATTTCTTTTTGAATGTTTAAGATTAAGCCCACTGGTTCGCATTGAACTAGTTTCGAATTCAGTGCTTGATCCCTTGCTGCTGCAGTAGAGAAGATTTCAGTTAAACCTGTACATCAAGGGAGAGGGGGGTAGATTTTTTAAATTGAAATTTTCCTTACTGAGATTTACCGGATGGAGTTTGCCAATGAATAAAAATGAATTTCCGTAAAACCAAAATTGCATGCGAAATGACTTACATGGGATGGGGGACACAACAAAAGTTGCCAATTGAATTAAAATAAAAAAAAGTTATTCAGCAATTTTTGAGTAATTATAAAAATCTAAAATGGTCATAACAAATTAAAAACTCAGGAAATGACAAAGTTTTGATAAAAAGATTATTGAAAACATTTTTGTGGCTCAAATGAAAATTCTTGGATTTATATTTTTTAATTAAAATAAAAGACGACATTGAGTAAGGTGAAATCTGTTATATCTGTTAAGTAAAGAGCAATTTCTTTGAAGTAGAATTGGAGAATTGTCTTTACTAAAGTAGTTACATTTCTTAGCTAGTTGTCTCAATAAGAAACTTATATAGACATTTTCTTTAGTTATCTACAGTTCCGTCTAATTATCGATCTTATTCAATTTAATGAAATTTCTATTCTATTATGTTCTATTCTTTTCTATTCTATTCTATTCTATTCTATTCTATTCTATTCTATTCTATTCTATTCTATTCTATTCTATTCTATTCTATTCTATTCTATTCTATTCTATTCTATTCTATTCTATTCTATTCTATTCTATTCTATTCTATTCTATTCTATTCTATTCTATTCTATTCTATTCTATTCTATTCTATTCTATTCTATTCTATTCTATTCTATTCTATTCTATTCTATTCTATTCTATTCTATTCTATTCTATTCTATTCTATTCTATTCTATTCTATTCTATTCTATTCTATTCTATTCTATTCTATTCTATTCTATTCTATTCTATTCTATTCTATTCTATTCTATTCTATTCTATTCTATTCTATTCTATTCTATTCTATTCTATTCTATTCTATTCTATTCTATTCTATTCTATTCTATTCTATTCTATTCTATTCTATTCTATTCTATTCTATTCTATTCTATTCTATTCTATTCTATTCTATTCTATTCTATTCTATTCTATTCTATTCTATTCTATTCTATTCTATTCTATTCTATTCTATTCTATTCTATTCTATTCTATTCTATTCTATTCTATTCTATTCTATTCTATTCTATTCTATTCTATTCTATTCTATTCTATTCTATTCTATTCTATTCTATTCTATTCTATTCTATTCTATTCTATTCTATTCTATTCTATTCTATTCTATTCTATTCTATTCTATTCTATTCTATTCTATTCTATTCTATTCTATTCTATTCTATTCTATTCTATTCTATTCTATTCTATTCTATTCTATTCTATTCTATTCTATTCTATTCTATTCTATTCTATTCTATTCTANTTAATAGAAATTTGAACATTTTATATAATTTTCTACCACCAAGGTTTTATATTTTCTTTTGAAAATTCTCAGATAATTTAACAAGAAATTTTATTTAAATTGATAAAAAAAACTCAATTTGGACAAAAAAAAACTCTGTTTGGCCACTATAATCTTTAATATATATGTATGAAATTTGTATGTTATCTGACCAAATGTAAACACTTTAGCTGAAATAAAAAATGCTGTAACGAGTTACAAATGAAGTAATCATAAAATATAGAATAATATTATAAAGATAAATGAGTCACTAATTCTTAGCGGCATTTTAACTTTAGTATGAACCAAGGTTATAATGCAAGGAAAGTTAATTGCAGTTGCGTGTACTCTGCATACATTTGGAAACCAGTTCTCTTTGGGCGGAATTTGTAAACAAGAATGGGTGCCTCAGTGTTCGTTTAGTATCCGAGGAGGTTAAAAGCACTAGATTTTGATAATTTTGAGAATTCACATAATAGTTACCTATGACCAGAATATTTCATTGATTTATTATGTGAAAGATGGATCCCATGTCAGGCTGTGTCTTGAGTTTACATTACCGCCAAGAGACAGTAAAAAAGATGCGTCACGTGGAATAGGAAGACGACTTTTAAGCTCAAGATATGATTTAGAATAGTCCATCAAACATGATACACAGGAATTATTCAGTGTGAACAGACAGTTTCCCCTTGAAAAGTCATTTTAAACTCTTAGTAAAAATTTTTGTTTTGTATTCTTTATAATCCATAGTATTTTGGTTCTCACTGTAAAGAAGGTTGTATTTAGTCAAGTTATGGGACTATTTTTTAAACCGCCAACGGTAACACTGCCCACTTCCTAAAGTTTAAAATATAAAAGAAATTTTTTTTAAATCATGAATTTTTTGTTTCAGTTTGTGAGTTTGCTTCTGGTATTTTTCGGTTGTATATTTATCCTGGTTCCCCAGCAAGTTATTTATCTAATCAGCTCTCTAACCACATCAGAACATAGTAAGGTAAAACTTTTTTACATTTTTATCTTTTTTGAACAATTGGCACAAGTAGTTGATGGACTTTTTGATCGACTATATGGTTCCAACATTTGAAAACTGTTTCCTTTTAAAGTTTCTACTTTTGCCCTGACGCGCAAAATATTTATTCCATAAAAAAAAGCAAAAATAAAAAACTAACCAAAAAAATATCGTTTTTTTGCATCTTTCTACTCTTAGGGTTATTAGCATTTGGCAGATTGTAAAGAAAGCAAACTAACCATATGGCAATTAACACTATATCTTTAATTTTTTTGATAATTACTACTTTCTTTGTTATATAAATAGAAATCGGGCATTGCCATCTTTGCATGGAGGGTCACTTGAAATCACGCTTACAGTCCCTTTAAATTAACTTGGATGAGTTTGTTTCTATTCTCCAGGGACCACAAAAGTGCATTCCAGTTTATAAAGGAAAGAATGTAAACAATTTCAGTGACAGTTAAACTCAGTTCATTTTAGCACTGTAAGTTTAGATCTTGGGTAATACTACCAAAATATAGAATTCATTATCCTAATTTTCTAAATCATTTAGATTCTTTGTCCAAATAGAATTATTCTCGCTTTTGCCTGATAATAATTAAAATTATTGAATCCTCTGTCTTCTTTACATTACAAATGATATTTTAAACTGTTTTTTAAAAATAAAATTTCCAATGACACGAGAATTTCCGGGCGTCATGTTATGACCGCCATCGCGGTTCCACTTCAGTACCGCCTGGCGGCAAAAATGGCAACTCACCAATTGATGCGAACATAAATATTATTAACTTGTTTATTTAAAAAATCATGCAATTTAGATACTTTTAATTAGTACACAAACAAATCAACATTTTTGATTGCTTTATATTTTGTAATATTGATTTGCAAACAGATTTTGGTGATGGATTCCTGTTTCATATTTACAGTGTATTCTGTAAGAACATATTTACAGTGTATTCTGTAAGAACATATTTACAGTGTATTCTGAACATCACAAGAAAATGAAATATTTGAAGCTTGAAGATATCTTATTGAAAAATGTCCGTGTTTTCAATGGTTTTCTTCAAACACTTATATGTGCAATTTACAATAATAAGAATATTAATAAAGTGACTGCGGTATAGTCGTCATATTAAGGTACTATCCATTTACAACGTGGCATTTGCAATTCACAACGGTGTCCTTGAGAGCTTGGTATGTAAAAAAAAGCAGAAATCCATGTTTAAAAGTTTATTATTTTAATTGTGGTTTCTCAAAAGTGGTTTTTACATTTTTTCTTCAGATTATTAGAATTAAGATATTATTAGAATCATTTTAGAAAAAGCACAATATCTTCCATTGATCAGAAAAAAGTTAAAATTGTGAATCGGGTAAGCCCCTCTTTAATTGGAAGGGAACTTATAGAAATTTCAAGAACAGTCCCTTATAAACATGTTATTGGGCCTTCTAACACAAAAATTGAAAATTTAAAAATTCTAATTTATGTTTTTATTTATTAGATTGTTGAATTATTAGTTTCCATCTCTCAACCTCTGGTCCTGAGAGAGACTGGAAAATGTCTGGTTTGCATCTCTGCACTGATCCTACCTCTCTCTCTCTGTGGATATATAGGATCATTGCGGATCAGTTCCCCACTTTTACTCCTGGTAATCTTTAATGTATTTTTACACATTTAACCATATTCCTCCCAGAATACCTGGGGGGGNCTATCTATCTATCTATCTATCTATCTATCTATCTATCTATCTATCTATCTATCTATCTATCTATCTATCTATCTATCTATCTATCTATCTATCTATCTATCTATCTATCTATCTATCTATCTATCTATCTATCTATCTATCTATCTATCTATCTATCTATCTATCTATCTATCTATCTATCTATCTATCTATCTATCTATCTATCTATCTATCTATCTATCTATCTATCTATCTATCTATCTATCTATCTATCTATCTATCTATCTATCTATCTATCTATCTATCTATCTATCTATCTATCTATCTATCTATCTATCTATCTATCTATCTATCTATCTATCTATCTATCTATCTATCTATCTATCTATCTATCTATCTATCTATCTATCTATCTATCTATCTATCTATCTATCTATCTATCTATCTATCTATCTATCTATCTATCTATCTATCTATCTATCTATCTATCTATCTATCTATCTATCTATCTATCTATCTATCTATCTATCTATCTATCTATCTATCTATCTATCTATCTATCTATCTATCTATCTATCTATCTATCTATCTATCTATCTATCTATCTATCTATCTATCTATCTATCTATCTATTTATCTATCTATTTATCTATCTATCTATCTAGTTGTCTTGTTGCGGATATTCTAACTTTACGGATTTCCAAAGATCTTCCAGCTTCCTTGAGACAAAGTTACAAAACCAGGTATTTTCAGATTGTCTCCGTTTTCCATTTTCCAACGTAGAATACATTTATTTTAAAGGGGGTTGGCACAGTTTTTATGAAAGGTATTTTTATGATGATCTTGGAGAATATATAGTTGAACCGTACCGACGAAGTTAAAGAGCTTTTTTTAGCACCGCGGTTCAAATTGAAGAGAAGTGGTTTAGTTTTGGTCTACACGGCTCAACTACTTCTCAATACTTATTAAATCTGGTCCATTTATTCATCTTTTCCAGCGAAAGAAAAGTTTCTCGAAAAAATGCGAAATTTTGTGAAAATTTTCTTTCATATTTCGCTAACTTTTTCGCGAAATTTTGCAAATTCTCTCGCGGAAATAAATTTTGCGAAATGAAGCAAAAAAATTCTTTCAATACAGATTAACGCGAAAATTCGAAAATTCTACAAACAGAATGCGGAAATTGCTAAATTTTCGGCGAAAACGAATATCCCCATTTCGATGGAAACCCTAATCTGTTCTAATGTTAATAATTCCTTTTAATTAACGATGCACTATCCTAGAATAATCCTCAAAACAGTCAACTGTCAACTGTAAGTCAACTGACTGACAACATTAATCTAAATTGAAAAAACTTTTAGCCTCAACTTTGGCTTTTGTCAGTACTTGCATATTTTGGTTGACAAAAAGATATATATAAATATCTTCTCGTTAGCTGTGGACAACTTTATCTTTTCTTTATCTTGTTGATTAAAGTTGATCCAACTATTTAGTTGAAGAATTAAAGTTTAAGAGTTTATCTTGCCCAAGGGACATCTTTCAACCAGAGTTTAACATTTCTCTCATCCTCTCACAGCCCCACTGTAAACTAGACAGAAGGGGAAGGTCAATTTAATGCCACATTACTGCTCCAACTTTGTAACCTCGTAGTTCCTCTATCAAAATCCAGTAAGTAGGATTTTATAACAGCGCAGCCCAGATTAGAATTGGTTTTATGCCCAGTGTTTCTGATTATTTGTTCGTTAAGTGAATATCCTTTTTTAAAAAGAGCAAAACTTCTTTCTTTAATTCAGTTTTTCCTTTTAAACAAATGAAGTGTGGGGGATAAAAAGATTGGTAAACTTTATGGTTAGAGGTTGTTCAAACTTTGCCAGTAACAAGGCAACATTAAACCAAACTTTTTAGCTTTCATCTTACAAACCCAACCCAACCAAACCCAACCAAACCAGACTAAACATGGAGAAAATGGCGGAAGTATTCAGTTTTCCGCGGCATTACTCGCTTTATGTCGGTTTCCATCTTACAAACAAAACAAAACAAAACCTGACAATTAAGAAAAATGGCGGAAGTATTTAATTCTCCGTAGTACTTTAGTTTCCATCTATATATCTACATTACTTATCTGTTTGTTGGTTTGTATCCAATAAACATCAAAACGATTGAACCGATCGGGCAACATTTTTTTGAGGCAACTCACAGTCACTGACCTAGGAAAGGGTTTCAAGAAGGATTAGAATTTTAAAAAAATTTTAAATCGGATTTTTATCAAATTTTTTAAATCCACGAGAAAAAATCGGCAGAATTGTTTTCTTTTTGTTTGTAAGTGTCGAAGATAAAAATTGTTATTTTTCACTTTTCAATCATTTGTATCCACGTTCTTCATCAATATGTTCAAACCTTTTTTTCTGATAAAATCTAATTTATTCTTAAAATACAAATATGATTTAATTTGATTATTTAATTTCAGTATTCTGTTCCTATTCTTCTGATTTGGAGTATTCAACTAGGAAATCATCAATTAATCAATCAAATTTAAAATATAAAATATCCCCCTTGTGAAGATAGAACACAAACATGCTAATATTAACGATTAATCCTTTCTTAGTCATATAAACAGTAAACCCCGAGTTTTCTTTAAATTTTGAAGATTTTTGAAGTATTTTGCAGTTATTTTCAGATATTATAAAGATCTAATTTGTGTTAAATAATGATAAATTATAAAAGTTTTCTCAATATTAGTTGTTTCTGAATTCTCATTACTAACTGTGTTTATATTACTGCAATGTAAGCAGTATTCCCCAGTACACCCTTCTATACCCGTCTCAGGCAATAAAACGATAACAATACTTTCACAAATTCTTGAAAATTGATCAAAATATAAAAATCAGTTGATTGCTTCATGGTAACTACTGATTGATCTAATTGATCAGCTCTTATTGATTAATTAGATCATTAGCGAGTGGATTCTTCGATTTATTGATTCGTTGATTGATTTGTTGATTCATTGATTTATTGGTTGATTGATTGTGCAGTTCTTCTGACCTGTCTCCCATTCTTGAAATCTCGTATTCTAGTTCTCATTGACTGGTTAGCAACCATCTCCCTCACTCAGTACAGGTAAACTAAACCTCAGTAGCCTCAGGTCCAAACTTTTATATATTTAATCCCTTCAAATACCAGTAATCCAGCGGATAAACTTAAATCATATCGGGAGCATATGAGACACCTTGTTTAAGGATGAAAACTTAATAGTTTCAAAAGTTTCCATGCTAGGGATATCAAGTTTAGGCGTTAAGTATATTAGTGCAATCTGAAATATAAGACATTTTTGATTGCTTTATATTTTGTAATATTGATTTGCAAACAGATTTTGGTGATGGATTCCTGTTTCATATTTACAGTGTATTCTGTAAGAACATATTTACAGTGTATTCTGTAAGAACATATTTACAGTGTATTCTGTAAGAACATATTTACAGTGTATTCTGTANACGTACAGTTTAGTTTAACGTGGCCCTGCACCAATCTTACGTACAGTTTAGTTTAACGTGGCCCTGCACCAATCTTACGTACAGTTTAGTTTAACGTGGCCCTGCACCAATCTTACGTACAGTTTAGTTTAACGTGGCCCTGCACCAATCTTACGTACAGTTTAGTTTAACGTGGCCCTGCACCAATCTTACGTACAGTTTAGTTTAACGTGGCCCTGCACCAATCTTACGCACAGTTTAGTTTAACGTGGCTCTGCACCAATCTTACATACAGATTAGTTTAACGTGGCCCTGCACAAATCTTACGTACAGTTTAGTTTAACGTGGCTCTGCACCAATCTTACGTACAGATTAGTTTAACGTGGCCCAGCACCAATCTTACGTACAGTTTAGTTTAACGTGGCCCTGCACCAATCTTACGTACAGTTTAGTTTAACGTGGCCCTGCACCAATCTTACATACAGATTAGTTTAACGTGGCCCTGCACAAATCTTACGTACAGTTTAGATTAACGTGGCCCTGCACCAATCTTACATACAGATATGATTAACGTGGCCCTGCACCAATCTTACATACTGATTATATTAACGTGGCCCTGCACCAATCTAGACTATTAGGAGAAACCATAGCATTTTGTTCCTAATATAGAATTTTCGAAAGCACACTTTAATTTTCTGAGCAATATATATTTGCAACCTGATGGTTTAAACTATACATTTTTTCAAAATTTCAATTTTTGATCTTGCAGAATTCATATTTAAATATTTCAAAGGGCTACGATATCAAGCTACACAGATATGAGGAATAAAAAAATTATGGGGTTTAGACTTTAAAATAATTAAAAAAAATTTTTAAAAATAAAATTAGTCAAACGCGCTCTGCATAAAGTCTTATTTTTAGTTAAAAGTGGTCAAATGAGAATTTTGTGGGTTTAAATAACAAAATAATTTCCATTGTTTCTATAAATATAAAAAACTTGTTAGGGTACGACTATGCTTTAATAAGTTTTACAGAGGCCGAATTTAAAGAATTTGAGACGCGCCTCAAATATGATTGGTTTCACTTGAAATCGTATTTAATTTTTCAAGATTTAATCCATGGTGCTCAATTTAAACTGGTTTTGGGGGAGATTTGAGACGCGGCCTAGATTCATTAAATTCGGAATCAGATATTCTCCATTTTATTTTAAATTGAACAAAAAAACTTTGAGCATAAACTCCATATATTCTGTGTTTTTAGTGAGATAAGTATAAGTTTTATGAGCAGTTTTAAAAATTCATGCTTACTGTTATATTTTAGGATGATAGTAAATCTTAATATTTGTTGAGATTAAACAGATTTCAACATTTAGAACAGTTGGGTTCTTAGTTTTCTACTTTTTCTGTATACTGTTTCACATTCAATACAATTTAAATCATTTACTAATTTTTTAAACCTTTATTTCTTTAAAGTCAGTAGATTTCCCAGACAGCTGCTGTATCCTGGATACAATGCTAAGATTGCCCCAGACAGCTGCTGTATCCTGGATACAATGATTGTCCCAGATAGCTGCTGTATCCTGGATACAATGATTGCCCCAAATCGCTGCTGTATCCTGGATACAATAATTGTCCCAGATAGCTGCTGTATCCTGGATACAATAATTGTCCCAGATAGCTGCTGTATCCTGGATACAATGTTTAGATTGTCCCAGATAGCTGCTGTATCCTGGATACAAGTGTATATCCGGCAACTATATCTCCAGAGGATACAAACTGTGTGTACACACCTACCACGTACAACTCCTACTTTATCAAGGTATGTACACTGTACAGGGTTACCCACAAATGAAGAGATTGTGAAGACGACCTGAAACTCGTCAAATATGACTATCCCAAGTTTATTGCCTTTTATGTGGTCCTTAAATGGCTTAATTTATGATTTCGCAAACAAAAATGAAATAATAATAATAATTATATAATAAAACTAACAGTATAGATTCCGTACAGTCTTCTCACAACTAACTAGTATAGTAAGGTAGGTAAAATAGCCTATAATAGGCCGGGTACTGTAAAAAGTCTGGACCCCCCATTAATGTTGAAACTGAGCCGGCAAAGGATAGGGACGGGTCAGCACAAGGGCAGTACAAGGGCAGTACAATGGGTCAATCCAGTTCGAATTCAAATTGACCCTAGTCCACTGTGGTCTATGTGTTGCAACCCCAGACATTATTACATTATTTGAATAAAAATGGGCTCTTCACATACTTTCAAGTGACCTCTACCTGAATAACAATGAGAAAGATATTGTCGCGTTTCTATTTTGAAAAGTGTTAATTTTCAAAATTTCCTTGAATGTTTCTCCAGCATAATTTTAGCCTTATTTACAATTTACATTTTACGATAATCATTTGTAATTTTAGTCTTATTTACAATTTACATTTTACGATAACATTTTTAATTTTAGTCTTATTTACAATTTACATTTTACGATAACATTTGTAATTTTAGTCTTATTTACAATTCACAATTTACGATAACATTTGTAATTTTAGCCTTACTTACAATTTACAATATACGATAACATTTGTAATTTTAGTCTTATTTACAATTTACAATTTACGATAACATTTGTAATTTTAGTCTTATTTACAATTTACAATTTACGATAACATTTGTAATTTTAGCCTTATTTACAATTTACAATATACGATAACATTTGTAATTTTAGTCTTATTTACAATTTACAATTTACGATAACATTTGTAACAATGTAGTGAAATGTAAGTAAATATATTTTCAAGATTTTCCATCTGATTTATTTCTATATTTCCCGACAAACTATATTGATGAGATGGAATAAAATTGATTTAAAATGTCATCAATAAAATCTACAAAAATTATTTCTAAAATTTGGAAAATTTGAAGATTTATTTATAAACGTTTAGAACAATATTTTGTCTTTTTTTCAGAAAAGATTTTTTTTATTATTTATGTATTAAGTGTATACAGTAAGAGCCATAAAACTGTAGAATTTGAAGACGAAATTTCAGCAACCGTATGTGTATTTGGTGTCGCTATAAAGCAAATAGGTTTACCAGTTGCTAAACAGAGTCAATAAAAAACAATAACTGTGTTTTTTTTCCATTCTTTGCTCTATTATTATAAATGATGTCCAACGATCTTCTTCCTATTCCACAGATTTATGGAGTGCACTGTATAGTTGTAAACTAACAGATTTATGGAGTGCACTGTATAGTTGTCAACTAACAGATTTATGGAGTGCACTGTATAGTTGTCAACTAACAGATTTAATTTTTTTAATATTCAATTTTGACGGTAATACTTTTTATAAACATTCCATAAACGTGTGTTGCAGTATCTATAACTGAATTGAGCTCTAAAACAATTATTTCTAAATTACTAAACTATTATGAGAAATAAATTCTATATAACGACAATAATAAACCCATTCAACAGAAGTTTACAGGGCCATATATAATATATACAATTTATAATTCTCCATTTAAATATATTTAGTATTTTAGCTGAGTTTGCTGTCTTCAATTATGACGGGAAGGTTTCAGCTTCTCAAAGTTGGTGTCAATTATACGACACTTTTCACTTCTTATAGGCATTCTTATTTTTTGATGATATTTTTCATCATCCTTTTCTCTATTTCAATATTTATCTTCTATCTACAGTAAGGGGGGTCGATTTGATTCAACTGGATTTGTAAACAAATTTGATTTGAGAAAAATAAAATATCAAATTTTTAACAATATTAACATTGATATATAATTTATACTTGATCAGACAAAGTTTTAAACGTTGTCAATCTTCCATTGCCATCCTTGCATAATGAATATTCAGGGTTGTGGTCTTGCTGTTGGTAACCTGCTAATGAATATTCAGGGCTGTGGTACTGCTGTTGGTAACCTACCAATGCCATATTCAGGGCTGTGGTCCTGCTGTGGTAATCTACCAATGAAATATTCAGGGCTGTGGACCTGCTGTTGGTAAACTACAATGAATATTCAGGGCTGTGGTCCTGCTGTTGGTAACCTACTAATGAATATTCAGGGCTGTGGTCCTACTGTTGGTAACCTACTAATGAATATTCAGCGCTGTGGCATTGCTGTGGTAATCTACCAATGAAATATTCAAGGCTGTGGTCCTGCTGTTGGTAACCTACTTACGAATATTATGGGCTGTGGTCCTGCTGTTGGTAATATACTTATGAATATTCAGCACTGTGGTCCTGCTGTTGGTAATCTACTAATGAATATTCAGGGCTGTGGTCCTGCTGTTGGTAATCTACTTACGAATATTATGGGCTGTGGTCCTGCTGTTGGTAATATACTAATGAATATTCAGGGTTGTGGTCCTGCTGTTGGTAATCTACTAATGAATATTCAGGGCTTTGTGGTCCTGCTGTTGGTAATCTACTAATGAATATTCAGGGCTCTGGTCCTGCTGTTGGTAATCTACTAATGAATATTCAGGGCTGTGGTCCTGCTGTTGGTAACCTACTAATGAATATTCAGGACTGTGGTCCTGCTGTTGGTAATCTACCAATGAAATATTTAAGGCTGTGGTCCTGCTGTTGGTAATCTACTAATTAATATTCAGGGCTGTGGTCCTGCTGTTGGTAATCTACCAATGAAATATTTAAGGCTGTGGTCCTCTGGTTGGTAATCTACTAATGAATATTCAGGGCTGTGGTTCTGCTGTTGGTAATCTACTAATGAATATTCAGGGTTGTGGTCCTGCTGTTGGTAATCTACTAATGAATATTCAGGGTTGTGGTCCTGCTGTTGGTAATCTACCAATGAAATAT